TTCATTTTAAAGTGATGCAAAAAGTTTTTTTCTGCAGGCCACCAGCCCCAACCAGAAGCCGCAGGGGTGGGGAACTCTCAGCTGGCCCAGCGGCTGTGAGCTTTGTTTTAAAGTGATGCAAAAAGTTTTTTCTGCCAGCTGCCAGCCCCACCTGGCTTTCAGTCAGGCCACACCACCTCAGGGTGCAGCATTTGCAACTGCAAGTTTGCTGGTTTTAATCCTCAGTGAAGCCAGTTTTAAATCAGTGAAATCTCTTGGGGGAAAGTTGGCATTAAAAAAAAACAAACCACAAATGGGGTCGTCTAGCTCCTGGCCTTGTACCCCCTCCAATGCATGATGGCCAACTTCAAGGTTGGGTTCTCAGGCCAATATGGGGTGAAAATAACCCCTGGAAAACTCCGCTCTTTGTGTGAGCTTGAATGGCCATCTTTTCAAGTTGGGTGGCCAGATACTGGGACCTATGACCCAAAAATTACCCAGGCTGTATGGAAAATGGTTGCAGAAACTCCTGGATACCCTGACCAGTTTCCATGTATCAACCAATGGTTGGGTTTAGTCCAACGGCCTCCCCCATGGCTAAAGCGCTGCATAAAACGGGCTGGACTTCAGATCATGTTAGCCAGCCCAAAGAAGGCCCCTACTTCACTGGCCATTCTCCCCACCCCAAAAGAGGATCTAGAATTACCTCTGCCTTACTTTAGACCCTCTGGACAGAGGTCTCAGCACCCCTCTCCAGGCAGCACTGGTAGCCAGCCCTTGTCCGCACTCCACACCTGTAGAGGGACCCCATACCCACCCTGAGTATTACCCCTTCGAGAGGTGCCCCCAATGGAAGGAGGTAGCTGGGGCTGCCCTTTCTCCATCCACATCCCCTTCTCCTACACCCTCCCTTTTCTGAAAGGCCCCAGGCACTCACAGGGCTCCTAGAGTCTGTCTTACTAACCCACTGCCCCGCCTGGGATGATTGTCAACAAATACTCCTAATACTGTTTACTGCAGAAGAAAGGGGCAGAATTAGACAGGAGGCCCATAGGCCATAATTGGAAAGAGGGGTGCTCGGTGGAGGACCACCAGGAGCAAATTAATGAAACTTTCCCTTCCACCAGACCCCAGTGGGACCCAAACACCTCGGTGCATCTACAGGCTTTGAACAATTTTCACTGGTACCTACTAGAAGGGGTTAGGGGAGTGGCCCAAAAGCCCACTAACCTCTCTAAGGTAGGGACTGTAACTCAGGGCCCGCAGGAGTCACCAGCTGCCTTCCTTGAGCATCTACAGGACGCTTATCGCACCTACACTCCGATTGACACTGAGGCTCCAGAAAATCAGCGGGCCATCAATCTGGCTTTTGTTTCCCAGTCAGGCCCTGATACTAAAAGAAAGCTACAGAAGTTAGAGAGATTCCAGGGAATGAATTTGTCCCAGTTGCTGGAAATTGCCCAAAATGTTTTTTACAATAGGGACACTTCAGAAGCCAGACAGGATAAGAGACTTACTAAAGCAGTAATTGCAGCTCTTCAGGAAACCCGAGTTATCCCACAGGGATGGGAAATCCCACAGGGGAGCCCCTGGGGTCCCTAGCCCAGGCTAGGATGCAACCAGTGTGCATACTGCTGGCAGATAGGCCACTGGAAGAAAGAGTGCCCAGAGAGGAGAAGGCAAGAAACAGCTCAGGGAAAGCCACCGAGGGCCATTCTCAATTTAGAAAGCCAGGGTTGACGGGGTCGGGGCTCTTATTTATTAAGCTCCCAGGAGCCCAGGGTCACCTTAAAAATTGGGGGCACACCTGTCAGCTTCCTAGTCGATACCGAGGCAGCACACTCAGTCCTTACTCAGCCCCTAGGATGACTATCCAGTAAAAAAACAATTATCCAGGGGGCCAGAGGAAAAACCACAACAAGCCCTTGGACCACCAACCAATTCGCTGATCTGGGAAACAGCACTGTCACCCACTCCTTCTTAGTCATTCCAGAGTGTCTGTACCCACTCCTAGGACAGGACTTACTCCACAAAATTCAAGCAAATATTTCTTTCAGTGAGGGTCAGGCTTGCCTCTCAATTCCTCCTCCCTTGGCATCAGGGCCGCCTCAGCAAATCCTCATCACCTGTGCTCTGTCAGATGAGCATTTCTTGCAGGAAGCTCTATCCACAGAGGCAGATCAACCACCAACATCAGACCTCCTCCGCCAATTCCAAGAGAATGTACCCAGAGTGCGGGCTGAAACAAATTCCCCAGGCTTGGCAAGTCACCGTACCCCAGTAGTGGTTCAGTTACTGGCAAGGCAATTGCAGTCCAGGTACGACAATATCCCATGAGCCAGGAAGCCAGACAGGGAATTGTTCTACATATAACCAGGCTCCTAAAAGGAGGGATCCTTACTACCTGTAAGTCCCCTTGGAATTTCCCCTTGCTTCCCATCTTAAAACCAGGCACAAAGAACTATCGGCCTGTACAGGACTTAAGGGAGGTAAACAAACAAGTGGAAACTGTTCACCCTACGGTTCCAAATCCATACACCCTCCCAAGTCTCTTGGGACCAGAACACAACCATTACACTGTCTTGGATCTCAAGGATGCATTCTTTTGCATCCCACTGGCCCCTGTTAGCCAGCCCATATTTGCTTTTGAATGGACTGACCCTGATACTGGGGTTTTGGGGCAACTCACCTGGACAAGACTGCCTCAGGAGTTCAAAAACTCCCCTACTCTGTTTGATGAGGCAGTTAGCCAAGATCTTGCCACTTCCAAGCTGAGTTCCCTGAGTGTGCCCTACTCCAGTATGTGGATGACTTACTATTGGCTACAAAAACCCAGGAGGCCTGTAAAGAGACCACACAGTCATTATTAAAGACTGTGGGTTACCGGGTCTCAGCTAAAAAGGCCCAACTCTGCCAACCAAAAGTTACTTACCTGGGCTATATAATAGAGAAAGGTAACTGGGCACTGGCACCCAGCTGAGTCCAAGTGGTGCTGCAAATACCCACCCCCAGCACAAAACACCAAGTACAAGAATTCCTTGGGGCAGTAGGGTACTGCAGGCTATGGATTTTGGGATTCATCAAGATAGCCAAGCCCCTGTATGCCTGCACCAGAGGAAATCAGCCCTTGACTTGGACAGAGATAGAGCAACTGGCTTTTGACAAGCTCAAGACTGCCCTGACTACGGCCCTAGCCTTGGCCTTGCCAGACATCTCTAAACCCTTCCTGTTGTTTGTGCATGAAAAACAGGGAGTCGCTAAAGGGGTGCTCACCCAGTCGTTGGGACCATGGTCCCAGCCAGTTGCCTACCTTTCAAAAAGACTTGATTCCGTATCCTCTTGTGGCCAGCTCGTCTGAGATCGGTGGCAGCTACAGCCCTGTTAGTCACGGAGGCTGACAAATTAACCTTGGGGCAGGAGTTAAACTTAGTGGCACCCCACGCAATGGAGTCAATACTCCGTGGAGCTCCTGGAAAATGGATGTTAAATGCCTGCATAGTTCAATACCAGGCCTTACTTTTGGACCAGCCCCGCATAAAATTTTTAAAGGCTACAATTTTTAACCCTGCTATGCTGCTACCAACAGACAATAGATGTCCTCCACGTGGTACGTCCGGATCTCACTGACATCCCCCTGCAGAACCTAGAGGAGGTACTATATACGGATGGCAGCAGTTTCATGGTTGACAGAGTGAGGTATGCCGGGGCAGCCGTAGTCACCCCAGAGTAGGTTATCCAGGCCCAGGCTCTTCCACATGGAACCTCAGTCCAAAAGGCAGAACTCATAGCTCTGACAAAGGCCTTAGACTGGGTGGAGGGAAAAACTGTAAACATCTACACGGAGAGCCGGTATGCCTTTGCTACAGCTCATGTACATGGAGCCATTTATAAAGAAAGAGGACTACTTACCTCAGAGGGAAAAAACCATCAAAAATAAAGAATAAAAATAAAGAAGAAATCCTAGCTCTACTAGAAGCTATATGGAAGCCCAAGGCAGTGGCATTGATACACTGCAAAGGACACCAGAAGGGAGATTCACCAGAGGTGAGGGGAAATGGGGCGGCTGGCCTACAGGCCAGACAGGCAGCCTTGGGGCCAGGAAAACCTCTGACTTTTCCTGTGACTCTGCTGACCCCAACCCTGCCCCCCACCCCTACGTACTCACCTGAGGAAGAAAACTTTGTTAAAGAACAAGGGTGCACATAAGATTCCACAGGATGGTGGATTCTACTGGACACGAGGATTGTGGTCCCCGAGGCTCTAGGATGGGCTCTAGTTAAGGACAGACACCAGGCCACTCACTTAGGACAGACCAAACTAACTGAGCCGCTAAAAGCCAGATACACATTCCCCACTTACATGAACTTATCAAGGAAATTACTACTCAGTGTGATGTCTGTGCCCGAGGAAATCCGGGAGGGAACAGGTCTAGCCAGGTAGGATTGAGACTCAGAGGAACTAGCCCTGGGGTGCACTGGGAAGTAGATTTCACTGAAATAAAACCCCCGGCAAATGGCTATAAATACCTCCTAGTGTTTATAGATACGTTCTCTGGATGGGTCAAGGCCTTCCCCACTAGGTCCGAGACTGCTTTGGTGGTCACAAAAAAACTATTACGGGACCTTGTTCCTCGGTTTGTCCTCCCTCTAACGCTGAGGTCAGACAATGGGCCCGCCTTTACTGCACAAATTTCTCAGGGCCTAGCCAAGGCCCTGGGTGTATCCTGGAAATTACATTGTGCCTATCGTCCCCAGAGTTCAGGACAAGTTGAACAAATGAACCGGACCTTAAAAGAAACCCTGACAAAGTTTATCCTAGAGACCGGTGAAAACTGGGTCAGCCTGCTTCCTTTTGTCCTCCTCCGTGTCCAATGCACACCCTATCAAAAAGTTTTCTCCCCTTTTGAAATTATGTTTGGCAGGCCCCCTCCCTTACTCCCCAGACCCGCAGATACCGTGCACGCTGAAGTCCATAACTGTACACTCCTTAAGTCCTTACAGGCGCTCCAGTCTGTTCAATCCCAGATACACCAGCTCATTAAGGACACCCGTCCCACCCCATTGGACCTCGCAGAGCAGCCAACACACCCCTTCCAGCCTGGAGACTCTGTCCTTGTTAAAAGATTCGCCACCTTCGGCCTCACTCCCCGTTGGAAGAGACCCTACGAGGTTATCCTGACCACACCCACCACTCTCAAGGTGGACGGACTAACGGCCTGGATTCATCACACCCACATCAAGACTGCCCCACCGGAAGGACAATGGAGCGTCAAACACTCATCCCCTGACTCAGTAAAGCTAAGACTTGTGCGCTCTTCACGGTCACCACCCTCGCCACCCTAATCTGTGCTGTAAATCCCTATAGCAACCCCCATCTAGAACCCACCTACTATCAATGGGTCCTCACTGAGGGCTCCACTGGAGGATATGTTAGTTCCTTAACCAGGAAGGGACCCACCTTAGCCAATCTTACCCTGGAGTACATTCCAAAGACCCCCATTACCTTCTCCCTAGACCTCTGTGCCCTCCTGGGCCTCAACCTAAATTTCACAACAAGTGGAGGTGTAGCTAGGTGTGGCAATTTAGGGGCAGAGCAACAACTCCAGACCATGGGGTTATATCTGTGCCCAGGATCCACCCCACAAAAAAGATGGAACTGTGGAGACTTAAATGAATTCTTTTGCCCCCACTGGGGTTGTGGAACTATCTCCGCTATATCAGGATGTACCAAAAACATAGACTCCTTCATCTCTTTTAACTGAGACTCTCCCCCATCCCCATGCTACACCAGGTCTTGTAACCCACTCAAAATAACTGTAACTACCCCAGATGGTAGATGGACAACGGGGCAAGCCTGAGGTCTCAGAGTATATATGAGTGGGTGGGATGTGGGAAACATCTTTACCATCCAGCATATAACCCTGCCCAGACCCAACCACCCTATAGGACCCATTGCCCAGGTCATAAGACAACAGGAGGCCCCCTTAAAAATACAAAGCCCCCTCATCCAGATAATCAATACCCCCCCTCAACGACCTTCCCCTACAACCCCAGCTCGGCTCGAAGAGGACACAACCCTGTTAGTCTTGTTGTCCTCGGCTCACCACCTCCTCAGCAAATCTAACCCAGATTTAGGAAAAGACTGTTAGCTCTGTCTAAACCCTCAACTACTGTTTTATACCGAGTTGGCTTCCCAATTACCGTCCAACCTGTCCAATTCTTCATGCTCCCAGTCCACACTCCATTTAACCCTGGGAGACATAGAAGGGTATGGGCATTGCTACCACTCCCCAAATTACACCCTTGCAGGTTCTCCCTATGGGCACTATTGTAATGTCTCCCACAATGTAACATTTAATGGTAAAAACCCTTACTATCGGGCCCCAGGTACCACTTGGTTAGCCTGCACTTTTGGCCTCACCAACTGCATTTCCACATACCAATTCAGCAGCTCTGCTCCCATACTCTGCACCCCGGTACACATCCTCCCCAGAGTTGACATTTATGATGGCCAACAGGGACTCAACCTCCTGGCCCCACCAGGTATTATTACTGACCAATGGAAGCGAGTCCCTATCGTCATCCCTCTACTGGTTGGATTAGGCATTGCTGGCTCCACTGCAGTTGGAATATCAGCTCTTATAACTGGGGACCAAAACTTTAAAACTCTCTCTCAGCACATAGATACTGGCCTAAGCCACTTGGAAAACTCCATTTCCCAACTCACTGATCAGGTTGAGTCTTTGGCTGAAATGGTCCTCCAAAACAGGCGAGGACTAGACTTACTGTTCTTAAAACAAGGGGGGTTATGTGCCGCCCTTAATGAACAATGTTGCTTCTATGCTAATAGATCAAGCCTCATCCGACAGAGCCTCCCCCTGGGCAGACAGAATCTCGAAACCTGAAAAAAACTTCAAGAGGCTTCGGAAAGCTGGTCTCAAAAAATGTTTTCCTGGTCCCCTTGGCTCACTTCCCTCCTCATGGGCCTGGTGGGACCTCTGACCCTACTCTTATCGGGTCTCATGTTCGGCCCCTGCCTCCTAAACCAACTGCTCAGGTTCATAAAATCTAGGGTAGACTCCATAAAATTAATGATACTAAGGCCTCAGTATGAGTCCTTAGAACAAACAAACTATACTAACCTGTTGGAGGAATCAATGATTTAATTCCTGTAAATAAAACAAGGGGGGAATGTGACATGGTAAAAAGCCCCATAAAACTGCATACCTCAACCATACCTCAGCTTTCTGTTGAAACTGCTCTCTATAACCCAAATGTGAATAAGTAATTAAGGACTATAATCGCCACCTTACCCAGACAATGTGTAAACAAATGCTAATCTTTACTTTTGTGAATCACTTAAGTAACAAGCAGAATGTCAAAAAGGCCCCTGGCCCTCAGAATGTCCGGAACCCCTCACCCCATCTTTGCCTAGGAATCCACTGGAATGTCCGGAACCCCCTCACCACCACCCCCGCCCCTCACCTTCACGCCCAAGGTGATTTTTAAGGGTATAAAAGGTCCTGACAGGCTCCTTTTGGGTGCCCCGGGTTGGAAAGACGCGAGTCCTCCATGGCCGCCGGCAATAAAGACCCTGCAATTTGGCATACTTTTGTCTTGGTGTTGACTTCCTATGCTCGGTCCAGTACAACACCTGGAGCTGGTAACTAGCATCCTAACTCAATCTCTCCCCACTCCCAAGGAGTTCCCAGGAGTGCCCAGAGTAGAGGAGGGAGCCTACGATATAAGACTTCATGGGAGAATATCCTGTCTTCCTAGACGGGGTGCATCTAATTTTGAATAACCCCAAGGGAAGTGCCTGCACCCACTTTAATCTTGTTGCCTGATACACTTTCCCTAAGCTGTTTTTGATGGTCCAATTCATTTTTTCCACTCTTCCGGAACTCTGAGGTCCATAGGCGGCGTGTAGTTTCCAGGTGATACCCAAGGCTGTTGCTGTTTTTCGGACTAAATCTGCCACAGATGCTGGTCTGTGTCTGATCCGATGTGCAGTGGCAGTCCAAACTTAGGGATCAGATCTCGAAACAGCACACGGGTTACTTCATGGGCCTTTTAAGGCCTCTACCCACCCAGAGTATGTGCACACCAGGACCAGCAAATACTTATGTCCCCCATACTTGGGCACTTCAGTAAAGTCTACCTGGAGATCTTCAAACAGAGCTGCTCCATAAGATTGAATTTCAGGGGGAATAGTTGGACCCTGCCTCGTGTTGCATTGCCTACATGTAATGAATGCATCTCTGTGCCACAGTTTTGGTCAAGGCCGATAAGTGTGAGATGTAAAAGCACCGGCCCAGCATCTTTTCAAGTGACTCTTGACCTAAACCAGTGGTCTCATGTACGGCTGGTACAACCGCTGCACATAGCAGGCCCTGGTATTTGGCTGGCTTACCAATGAGGTCTTTAGGTATTCATTAATGTCACCGCTGTGTGGGGTGCTTTGATATTTAAATTCTTCCCAGAGTGAGGCTAGAATCTTTGATTGCCATTTTTTTCTTTGTTTTCTTTTTTTTTTTTTCCCGACAGCATGAAAAGACTGTGTTAAAATCGGCTAGCCCCAAAGCCAGGCTGACAGAAGTTTCACTTTTAGCTTCTGCCCCATTCAAAGGGTGTCTTGTCTTCTCCCCTCCCGACTTTGTCACTTTGTGTAATGGTTTGGCCAATACTGTGAAGTTGGGAAATCCACAATTTATAAAACCCAGGGCTCCCAGGAGCTCTCTCGCCTGCCTTTTAGTTTCAGGTTCTGTCATTTTGCAAGCGGCTTGCTTCCTCTCTGCTTCTAGGCTGCGTTCCCTTCCAGATGGTGAGCCTCAGATACTGCATTGCTTTTTGGCAAAGCTGGACTTTCCTTTTAGACACTTTATACCCACAGTCCTCCAGGTGCTGAAGTAAGGCATTTGTTTGCGCACCCGACTGCCGTGGGGTGTCCCAATAGAAGGTTATCAGCATACGGGGCAGCATGCAAGCAAGAAGCTTCTGGGAGGTGGTCACAGGCTGATGCCTCCCCAAAGGTTATGAGAGAGTTTTTGAGCCCCTGGAAAGTTGGGTCCAGGTGTATTGGGTGGTTACACCTGCTTCTGAGTTTCTCCCATGGAAATGCAAATAGTATTTGACCCTCCAAGTCCAGCCCGATGCTAAGGAGGTATTCTTTAAGTCCAATTAAGTGAACCAACTATCCTTTGCTGGCAATAATCCCAACTGCGTGTATGAGTTGGGTGCAAAGTCACTCAAGCCCAGCATGGGCCTGGGTGATAGTATCAGTCTTCTGCTCCTGGCTAGGAAGGCTCCACCCTCCTTTCCTAGGGACAATGAGAACCCAGATAACCCCGGACTGAGGCAGTTTTAGCTGCAGGGAGTCTCTTTTGTTGAATGGGATAGTGGTCCTTGATTTGCACAACAGGTTTTGCCAGAGAAGGGAGAAGGGGGCAGGGGCAGTCCATTAAGTACAAGAAAGTCTGTTCTGTCAACACCTTAATAGCTTTAACAATATTGGTTTTATTTATTTATTTATTTTTGATGGGGGTTTCAGGGCTGTCATCCAGACTGTGGGCTCTTTGGGGGCATATGAGTCCGGCCCTCCTCTCTTTTAGTCCAGTGGCCCTTCCATTAGATTGAACAGAGCCCCTTCACTTTTATCTGGATCCTCGTGCTTAGGATCGCCCTGTTCTCCAGTTAACTGTGAACATTTTTTCTTCCAATGTCCTATTTCTCGACAAAATGCACACTGATCGCGTTGCAGGCATGGGTGGGCAGACTGTGGGGATTTCCAGGAACCCCCCTTTTTCCACACTCTTGGGGGCATTCCTCTCATAGCAGCAGCTATCAAGTCGGCCTTCCGTTGACGTGAAGTCCCCTTTCCCTATGATTTTCCCTCTGGCTTACTGCCTCTCGGTTTACAAACACCTGGTTAGCTCTTTCCAATAACTGTGAAGTATTCATGCATGCAAATCCTGCCTGTTTCTGCCCCTGAATTTGCCTGGACTTGGGAGTCCATGCTTCTTGGCGGCGAGGGGGATACTGGTTTCTAGCAGTCTGTCCCTTGGCTACTAAAACAGTCTCTGCCTGCTCTCTTAGACACTTTGGAGGGTTCAAAACTAACTGCAACCACCAGTCTATGTATGGAAATTGATTGAGGTGTTCTAGTTCACCGTATATAACCTCATGCCTTACTTTGGAGACAAGGGACCTGTCTAGGGTCCCCTCTGGGGTCCAACCTACCCTAAATGCTGGCCAATCTTCTCTACATAAAGCCCTTAATTTCTCTGGTGTCGTAGTTACTTTATAACTCCCACTAAATCCCTTCTTGAAAATTTTCAGCATGGTTTCTAAAGGGGTGGGCTTGCTATGGGAGTGACCCTATTAACACTTCAAAGAAACAATTCCCACTGTTAGGAGAGAGTTAGTTCACTCACAGCAGTTCCTGTTCCCTCCTAGCAAGACACAGTACAGAACACTCTCCGATTTACGTTCACGTCAATCCTTTCACAATGCCCAGAGCCTTCTTCACTCAGCCTTATGTGGCTGTCTCTAATTCTTACAAATTGCTCAATGCATGAGGCCCTTCCTAAAGGGCCCGATACCTTTCACAGCTGATGAGTCTGGTCAGACACATCTACACACACAGACGCCCATCCAATCGCTCTCCTTCCAATTCAAAACTATAAGCAAAAAGCTTCCAAGGTTAGTTACAGAGAGAGAGAGAGAGCTACATTCAAAAGTGCTGAACCTGGGACTCATAGGTGATCAGGCCACGCTTCCAACCCAAAAGGGGGTGCGCTGCTTTCCCGGGTTCAATCTTACCAGATTCAGGAGTCTGGACATCTCAAATACCCTTTCCTCCTTGGTGTTCAGCCACTGGGCGGATCTGCACTGCAGGGCCTTCCTGCTCCGCTCTGGTGAGGCTTTTCCACAGGGCAAATACCTGCCCAGAAGCGCTCTCAGGATGCGTCACCCCAGGGAGCAGGAGCCCCCACAGGGATGCTCCACAGAGCTAAGCAAATCAATTGAAAGACCTTTTCCCACCATCTGGTATCCGAGACTCGCTTCCAGGCCAACGCACCAAAAATGTAGCAGGATCGGCCGTGGGAAACAGATTTCCCTAAGAGCAAGCGTGTTATTTTCAGGAAGGAGATTCAGGAGGTGCCAGCTGGCCTACTCTCTCTTCTATTGAGATGCACAGTGGATGACAGAGGGGGAGGGAATCCCAGATGCCTGGGTCTTCTTCCTCAATAGAACAGAGCAGAATAGTGTAGGGGAAGGGGGAAAATTCAATGTTTGAAAAAAATTCCTATTATTGTCTTTCCACATATAACTAAAATAGAATTATAGCTTTCTTTTCCAAGCACTTAGTTTACATTCCCTTTATCTTCTTCCAGCACTGTTTTTACCATAATTTGACCCTCATATTCATTCTCACTGAATCTGAGTTTTCAGTAGTCCTTTTACATAGGACCATTATAACTTTCTATTGCCTATTCTCTTGATAAAGAGAGGACAAAGTGCTATTTGTTATTCCTTGGGTCCTAGACACAGTCCTGCTTGTCTCATTGTGTAGCCATACTCAGTTTGCACTTAGCATTTGAATCCTTCACTTTGAACAATATTACTGGTGGTTTTAGGAGCATAAGCAGCACAAAATTGCCAGTAGTGACCCGGTTCTCAACTTCTAAATTATTAAGAACCAAATTCCTAAATTATTAGGATAAGAATTCCTGAATTCTTATTTCTAAATTAATAGCAACATGACTATGTTCTTTTATTGGAAACGTTACAACCTTTGGGACTGGGACCTCTAAACACATCAAAATTTAGTTTGGCAAACAAGAAGCGCATATTTATGATGTGGGCTCTCACATGTAATACACAAAGCAGCTACTCCTACTTCCACATTCTACATATAGAAGGTTGGCACCATATTTTCACAGGTGTTTTAAAGCAAATACAAGTTATATAAGAAAACACTTCAATCTGCTTAAGTATTGTGTTCCCTATTATACCACAATTAAGTCTTTAAAAAAGCATTCAACTCATTCCTCTGCTCTAACAAACTAGCTGATTTTGGGTGATGGATGTGGGTGTTAAATACAGGAAATTGGCACTCACCGCCCCATTTCTTTTGCCATGAAGTGAGTTTCTTTGTCAGAGGGCATATAAGGAATGCCCAGGAGATTAATAACTCATTTTGTAAATCCACGATTAATAAATTACTCCATAAACCTCATCAATATAATTCAATATGAATTCTTCTATTTAAAAAAAAAATAGTTCTCACCAAGTTCAACAAAGACTATCTTTTTACTATATCAACGGAATATTCCTTACGTCTTAACTGACTTGATTCCTTAGAACCATTTGATGTCCATAGCTACTCCTTCCTTCTTAAACACTTTCATTTGTTGGATTCTATCTTGCCCTCTTCTAGTCCTTAATTAAATTACTCGAAATTTTTTTTTCCCATTTATTTATTTTATTGCATTTTAGGTTTTGGGGTACATGTGAAGAACATGCAAGATTGTTGCATAGGTACACACGTGGCAGTGTGATTTGCTGCCTTCCTCCCCATCACCTACATCTGGCATCTCTCCCCTTGCTATCTCTCCCCAGCTTCCCACCCCCCACCGTCCCTCCCCTATTTTCCCCCAACTGACCCCAGTGTGTAGTGCTCCCCTCCCTGTGTCCATGTGTTTTCATTGTTCAACACCTGCCTATGAGTGAGAACATGCGGTGTTTGATCTTCTGCTCTTCTGTCAGTTTGCTGAGAATGATGGTTTCCAGGTTCATCCATGTCCCTACAAAGGACCCAAACTCATTCTTATTTCCTATATTACCACCATTTTTTCTTGTAGCCAAGAAATAGAAAGGGCCATCAAATCCTGTAGAAGGAGCAACATTTATCCATGTGGTGTTAAGTGGTTCCTTCCCCTATTTCCCCCCCGCTGACCCCGGTGTTATTTATTCTTGAATTATTTTACATTGTTGAAATTCTTAATACTTTTCTCCATTTACTTGAACACACTAATCATTATTGCTTTACATTTCTGTCTAACACATGAAAGGAAAACTCAAAAACCCAGCTCAATATCCCAATAAGAAAAAAAAATAAAGCTGAAAGCTGAATCATGCAAAAAACTGCCTTTTGTTGTTCCTAAGCAGATGGCTACAGATGAAAGGTTAAATATCTATCTCCACAGACAGCTACTCTGTCTTCACCTTATCTTAGGTAAAATGCCCATTTACTGTAAGGAATACATCACTGACTATTCCCCTTCCTGCTCTTTTTCCCTTGCAACATGTGGCTTACCACACCTTCACTTTTTCCCCTGAAGCTTGTTTTTCCCCTTTAAAACTGAAACTCTCAAAGTCATCTTTGTAGAAAGGCACAGACCACAGACTATTTTGGTGTTTATATTTTATCCTCCTGGGCATGTCCTTAAGCTTGGCAAAATAAACTTCTAAATGAATGAGACCTGTCTCAGATAATTTTCGTTTTACTGATATTATTATCTGAACCACATGTAGGTCAGTTTTTATAATTTGGCCTATCGATCGATGTTTTAATATTTAGTTCTTTTTTTTAGGTCATCTCATAATTTTTTTTATTAAATGACAGGCCTTACATATTAAAAACAGAGATTTTAAATGATCTTCCTACCAAAAAGTTTTGTTTTCTTTTTTTGTGTGGCAGGCACATAGACTATAAGCAATAAACTTGATCCATTGGCGCCCCGTCAAATTTTGCCTTCTCAGTTGTTTTATAAATTTTATCCATCTTTTATAATTATGTTTTTGTAGATTTCTCTCATCTGATACAAGCTGCAGTGCTATGGCTGGAACTGGCTTTATTCTGGCTTTGTTCTCCAACAAACTAAAACTGGGAGGTTATTTAGTGGGGAAGGAATATAGCTATGTGCAGGCAGAAATGTAGCTGTGTGTGGGGTGTAAACCAAAAATAAAATTTTAAGATCCTCCAACCATCTGAATGGACTTCCTCCTCAACCAGCGCTCTTTGAAAATTTAACCTGAGAGGTTGGTTCAGGTCATGACAGGGAGTGTAAAACAGGAATTTACAAGTATGTGTAACAGACATTTATTTTCCATGACCTCCTCCCTGCACCGTCTCGATGGCTGCAACCAGACTTTACTTAATGGTAGCATGTCTGGCAATCTTGCTGTGTCACCTAGATAAGAGATCAGGAATGCAGCTGCAGAGCAATCAGGGTGGGGGGTGGGAGGTCAGCTTGCATGGAGAGGATTTTCTGAGGCAACTTGTCCCTAACAATTAGTGACCTAGCTTCTGTTTCAAGGGAGGAAAAAAATCCTCAAGCATCAGAGAGTCCACGAAAAATCTCCAAGTCAACATTTTGAAAGGGGCTAAGAGCCAACCCATTTCTAGGGGCTACCAGTACACTTAGCAGGGCAAGAGGGCAAGACCTTTTCCCAGGTAAAAATTATTTCTTGGAAACTGAGGTCCCCTTGGAATATGCCAGAGGGTGCATTAATGGCCAAACTCTATTTTGTTCCATATCATTTCCAGGGTGGGATGACTACCGGCTCAAAGTCCATCCTGCTCCTCATTGGGACCCCTATAGCCAAGGGACTTGGAGTCAAAAAAGGCTGATAGCCAATAAACATTCTAGGTCAGACAAGAATAGAGGTGCCAGTTACTCATTAACTGTTAAAACTGTAAGCAATCGAAGAGCAAAAAACCAAAAGCCAAAAAGTAAGGTTAATATTTCTTTTTTTCTTTCTTTCCTTTTTTTTTTTTGAGAAGCAGTTTCACTCTTGTCGCCCAGGATGGAGTGCTATGGCGCAATCTCAGCTCACTGCAACCTCTGCCTCAAGTGTTCAAGCAATTCTCCTGTTTCAACCTCCGAGTAGCTGGGATTACAGGTGCCCACCAATGCACCCAGTTAATTTTTTTGTATTTTTAGGAGAGACGGGGTTTCACCATGTTGGCCAGGCTGGACTCAAACTCCTGACCTCAGGTGATCCACCCACCTTGGCCTCCCAAAGTGCAGGGATTACAGGCGTGAGCCACTATGCCTGGCCAAGTTAATATTTCTATCACTGTTCCCGGACCAAACCGAGGGTCATACTGCTATTTCTCCCAGCCCAATAACGAGATGCAAATGAACTGGGGAGGAAGACAGTTTTGATTCCTGTAACCAGTTATAGGGAGAAGGCCTGGAAAATATTGCCAGACCAACTCAAAATTACAAAGTCTTCCAGAGCTTATATACCTTCTAAATTATTTGTCTGTGTGTAAGTGTCATTCATCTAAAAACATAAGTGATTAACTTATTTTAATCTACAACTGAGATCTGAGTTCTGAAGACCTTCCTCTGGAGGCTCAGTAAATTTACTTAATCTAAATGGGTCCAGGTGCTGGAGTGATTATCCTATCTTGTCTCCTGCTAAATCATGGAGGTTTGGGAAATTCCTAAGACCCCCAATAAACTTGTTCATGGAGGCTTGGGAAATTTCTTCAGACCCCCAGGATTAACCTTATTTAATCCTAAAGGGGTCCTGTAAGGATTCCTTCATTATCTTGCCCATGGCCCAAGGCCCAGGAAAGTCCTAGGCAAAATTCCTGATGGACTTTTGTTATAATCCAGGCTTTGTATGAGGGCACTGGCTCTTTTCACTTTTAACATTTAATTTAACCACTCAGTCAGCACTGAAACAGTTATGGAGGCCTGCATCAGTGAGACCTGGTCTGTCACATCATTATAAAGCCAGTCCTCCACAGCTTACATTTGAAGCATATCTGTTGCTTCACCTGGAGTGCTCCACTTGGCATTTATAGATGGAGTGGGACAATTCTCCTTCTCAGAGTATATAGTTCTCACAGTGTTTTATCCAGTCCACCAAGTAGCCTGTTCTTTTGGGA